ACAATAATATGGACTGTCTGAGAGTCCCCAAGGTCTGGGCTGAGAAACACTGTTCAAGAGCAAAACTGTCTTTCTAAATATCCTCCTTTGGAGAAAAAGGGCAAAGATTCAAGCAGGAATGAAATTTAACACATTTTTCTTTAAGCTTGATATAAATTCCTCTATGCATTCCTGCTGAGATTCTGCGTCTACCCTTTAATATAGTCATACAGTACTGTAACTGAATGCATGACACAAACAGCAGCAGACAGCATGTATTGAGATTTGCTGCCAAATGCAACAGAATGCAGCCGTCTTTCAGTATTTTAGGCATACGTCCAAATTTGGGGCCCCGCACACCTGTTAAAGCTTACTGCAACACCATTGACAACGTATTGTAGTACATCATTCCTAATGTGATAGATAGATAGATAGACAGATAGATAGATAGATAGACAGATAGATAGATAGATAGATAGATAGACAGATAGATAGATAGACAGATAGATAGATAGATTGATTTTGAAATAAATACACTAGACGTTAATAACTGCATGAACAGCACTAATGTGAGGTAATACGGGTTCATAAACATACTTATGTTAAAATTTCATATGCTCCAGCTCACTAATTAGCAATTTGTAAAAAAATTTCCATGCAAAAATGTTAATTTACTAAGGTGTGCAGCTCAGCGCCACATGACACCTTGAGTCGAACATATCTATTGCCCGTGAGGCCTACACAACACGAAATCTGACTAATGCAAAAACAAAGAGTACTGCACCTGTGTAGAAGCCAATCCAAATAAACATAAGGAGTTAAGATGACAAATGATGACAGCATCTAGGGAGAAAGTGATTTCATTTCTGACTACTGAGCAGGGTCTGTTTTAGTTTCATTTTGACTGGCAGCAACAAAAAAAAGAGGAAAAAAGAAGAAAAAAAATCACCTTTTCCCAGAGTGGAGTGTGAAAAAGGCTCACGCGGCTGGCACCGTGCTGTCTGTGCTGCGAGATGAAGCGCTAGCAGTGTTTCCTGACATCGAAAGGAGGGGAATCGTCTCTAAATAGTTCATTGCTTTGGACCCGTCTGCTTACGAGGGTTGCAAAGTGCCAAACAAGAACCACAGAAGAGCTCACAGATGATTCTCCAATCTACCTTTACAGAGAAACTATATATTTAGGTACTGTATATCTTTAGTACAATTAAAATTGCTTAACGATTTCACCAGATTTGCCTCTGATTTCATAATTTATGGAAGGTCATATTGCCACATACACTGACAGTAAATGAGGACTGAAACATTGCTCATTCAATTACCTGTTTTCTTGGAAAGGTGCATCACATTTGATAGATGCCTTTCTGCATATTACAGCAATGTTAATAAAATGTATTATTCAGAGCATAGATTGGTGAATGTCCTCATTTTTTTATCAACACAATAGAAATCATCCAGCCACCTGTCTCCCATAAGCACATAAGCTAAAGCAGAGTTGCACTGAGCATTTACCAGGAAACACAGGGTAAGGAATACCCTCAATGGGAGGTCAGTGCATCGTCAGGGTGCACACCCACACATTTAGAGATGCCAAACTGAGGTATTCAGGGGAAATGTGGACAAAGGGGAATGTGCAAACATGCGAATAGACTCCACACACAGATTTAGGCTGGGAACTGCAGCCCCAACTCCGGGATGGTGACATTAACAAAACAGATCAGCACTACGTTTGGTTAGATTGGTACTACAGGGAGGGGCGGGGGGGGGGGGGGGGGGGATCTAAAAGGAATAGATGAGTATGCTGGGATGTAACATGGGGAGTCACATGACTGCTTTTCCATCCATGCAGCAGATTATATACATTCCAGATGAAGAAGTGGAGGTCAGTTCTGTTACAAGCTGACTTGTAATGATTCCGGAATCTATGTGACACACTATGGGTAAGTCTAGTTGGAAAGAGCTCTAAAAACAGATATTGTTTCATCTGTGGTGACTCTGAGGCAAACAGCAGCAAAACCCACTATTCATCTACAAACGTCTTACTGAAGTAGGATCATTATTAGGCTTCCAGGGTCAGATGGTCATAGGGACCCTTTTTTACGATCTTTATTATCTAAGGACAGATCCTCATCTTTATGCGAAACGGTGATGCATGTTCCTTTACATCAGTGTTTAGTCTGACAGACAAAGTAAGTTCTCAAAAACAGGAAGATTTGTCTAAAATGGATGGAAACGTGGGTAAAAAAAGAGAGTATAAAGTGGGATTCCTGCCAAATACTGAGCAAAATTGTGTTAAAAATGCATCCCAAAATGAAGCATGCAAATGAGAGAAAGACATTGAGGAAAACAAGGCCAAATGAGTGTAAAAACAAAATTACATGCAAAAAAAGTCAAGTTCAATACAGACAATTATGTAATTTCATCACAACTGACTTGTTACTCCTGAATAATATGCTTCTCTATTGGAGTGTTTAAAAATATGTTTATACAAATCCCTAATGAAAAAGTAGCACAGTTGTGTAAAATATCACTTAGAGCAGCATTGCACCACAACCGGAAGTAAAAATCAGACTTTGTGGGTTTCAGACAGAAAAACATTGCCACGCTGCTTGTGATCTGGGAAAATGCCAGTCTAACGTTAGATCCTACATTCTCTATCACAGCATACATTTCTATGCCATCTGTCATGGCTATGGGTATATCCTTTGGTGAAGCTGAAAGCCTGTGATGTTCTAATAGACGTGTAGCCTCTCTTCCTTATGTTTCAGATTGTTTCTGAGCCAGCAGAAGGTTATGGAAGACCTTACACAGTATTCAAAACAAACCTCAGGTGTTCCAGTGGAGAAAATCAGGGAAGCAGTATTTATTTCAATGAACAAATCGCATGACCTGGAAAAACTCTCTCTCCAGTCCTCTCAATTCAATGATGCCTGTCATATTGCAAGCAAAGCATCTCATTGCTATTTAATCTTATTTATGTAAAATGGACTTTTACACTCAGTAAGTCATCTGAATTATTCAGTTTGCCGCAAATGTCAGAATTGAGTAATACAATTGCTTGGAATGGAAATCTAGAGATGCAATTCAATTAATTGATACTTTTCGCTAAATTTGTTTTTTTCCTGTCATTATTTCTTTCTAACACATCATTTCCTTGGACTAATAATGCCAAGTTCTGTATTATGCTTCATTATTGCATCATCATTTTTATCTCAAATAGCAAAATCCCCACAAAGCACTTTGTAACAAAATTAAGGCACTATGCAAAATTAGACATCTCAACATTGTGCTGTTAGTGGGGATTTTTTTCCTGATGAAGTGATGATAAAGTTTTATCAGGGTACCCACCTAGTAACCAGCAAAGAGAGAGAAAAGCACCTCAATATTCTGGACTCCTGCAGTAGAAAAGCAATCTAGCGGCTACTCAATAATCCTAGTCTCGATGGGAAGTTTTCTTTCTACCTCTCAGTTATTTACCAAACTGAATGCAGTCTTTCTCAATACTAGTAACTGTCTCTCAGCTCTAAAAGATTTGAAGAGAGTTAAACACTGATGTTCTGTAGATGGGACTTGAGGGCTTTGTCCTAACCCACTAAGCCACACAACACACCAGTGACCCAAAAGAATAAATACAAAGTGTAAAGTTAAGAACTACTGTTTTATTACTGGCTGATTGAGAGGTCATCCCAATAACCCACACTCATACCGGTCCTCCATAGAACAGGTTCCCTACCCCAGCTGTACTGGATAAGCTGTTTGGGAAATGGAACTTTCTGGTTAATTTTCCCCATGTGCCATGTTTTATTTGTGTTTATTGACCATGTATTGTTTGCAACACAATGTATTGTTTGCCATACCCAATAATATATATGTTTAATTGATTTTGTGGGAGTGTGTTGTTCAGTACAGTAAACCATCACTTGGGAGAGAGATGCGAAGTTATTACTGTATGTTGCACTTCAGCTTGGGGCAGCGCTACAACTAATCATTTGCCATCTCTACCAAAAAGCGAATTTGTTTTACCGCATAATGGCCACATACACAAGATGTTGAACTGGCAGGAAGTAATGATGTCCATGATTGCCCATGCTAACACCCTGAGATACTTTGTCAAACTTTATTACATTCCTGAAATCATATCAGCGGATTTTTAGAGATATATGACTTTTTCCATGCAGAAAACTCATTATAGTTCCATGCACTGGTAAAAGAATATATTTTTAAAAAGACGTAAGATCCTGTTAAGTGTAACTTAACTACCATAATCATCATAATCTTTGAGTAATGGCTAAGATTTGTTTCGCTCTGTGTACGGGAAGTTCCAGCCATTGTAAAATAAAATAAAAACAGTATTTCACAGTGTCTTGCTTCTTGCAGGTAATAAATTGGATCAAATCAGGATGATTTAAAGAAGCATTTGAGCCATTAAACATGAAGGTAATTATAATTTTACATTCCAGATGAATAAATCTCAGACACCAGTTCAAATCAATCTATCTCAGCTGATTCAAATTTTAATCATTGAACAGGGATATGCAGCCCTGTTTATTGGCTGAATTGGGTAAAAATTAAACATAAATTATACATATCCATTCCATCTAACCTCTGAAGAGGGTTGTGGGTGGACCTGTAGCCCAAGGTTGTTGCTAGGGCTGTTTTAGGGGGGCTCTTTAGCACAGCCACATAAATGTACACTAATTAGTTTAAATAGTATATTGTCTTTCATTTCTGTTAAAATCAGATACCCCAGTAAAGGCTCCCCTTTTGGAAATCTCTAGTGA